GGCCCCAGGGGGACCCTAGGGGGCCCCAGGGGGCCCTTAGGGCTCCCCAGGGGGCCCTAGGGGGCCCCAGGGGGGCCCCTAGGGGGCCCCTAGGGGGCCCCTAGGGGGCCCCAGGGGGCCCCTAGGGGGCCCCTAATCTTGCATTTCCTAGTACTGTGGGGGTTGTCGAGGCAAGCCAGGGGCTTTGAGAAGTTCCTAGGCCTTTCTCTCGGTCTGGGCACAACGCACAGGCCAGAAACCCTAAACCCTAAACCCTAAACCCTAAACCCTCTCCCGCACCCCCCAAACCCTAAACCCTAAACCCTGCAACATGTGGGGCCCCTACCTCCTTGCGAGCTCCTCACAACAGGAAATGGGGGAAGGGGCCCCGGGGGCCTCGGGGGCCCCGGGGGGCCCCCGGGGGCCCCCGGGGGCCCCACACTGTGGCTTAAGAGAATAGGGTTTAGTGGATCTTTTGTGTGGAGCTGCTTGTCTCCCTGGTGCTGGTATAAGGGCTGGGGGCCCCCTGCTGCTGCTGCTGCTGCTGCTGCTGCTGCTGCTGCTGCTGCCTGGGGCGGCGAGGCCCCCTGAGGGTTGAGGGGCTCCCCTCCTGCTGCTGCTGCAGCTTCTGCTGCTGCCGCTCCTGCTGCTGCAGCAGCTGGGGGGCCCCCCGGGGCCCCCAAGTAGGCCTGGCCTACTGTGGTGGGTTGGGGGCCCCTCGAGGGGCCCCCCACTTCTTCTCTAGAGCCATGCGAAGACAAACTGTCGGATTCTGTCTCTACCGAACGCAGCACCTGCAGCAGCAGCAGCAGCAGCAGCAGCAGCAGCAGCATTAGGTGCAGCGCCGTCCCCAGCTGCAGCAGCTGCACCATTAGAGCATCACCAGCAGCGAAACAATTAGCAGCAGCAGCAGCAGCAGCAGCAGCAGCAGCAGCAACACGCCGCGCAGCAGCAGCAGCCTCCCCAGTAGCAGCCGCAGCCGCCCCTTGCCCATCACCCGCCCCAGCAGCAGCAGCTGCTGCAGTTGCTGCAGCTGCTGCAGCAGCCCCAGCAGCAGCAGCTGCTGCAGCAGCCCCAGCAGCAGCAGCCGCAGCAGCCGCAGCAGCCCCAGCAGCAGCCGCAGCAGCCCCCGCAGCAGCCGCAGCCCGAACCCCAGCAGCAGCAGCAGCAGCAGCAGCAGCAGCAGCAGCAGCAGCAGCAGCAGCAGGACTGACATGTTTTTGAATGGTGTGTCTGGCAATTCCGAAGAAGAATCTCCAGAATTTGTCTTCATTTAATTTTTTAGGAACAAGAGAATACCGAACAGCAGCAAGTGCTGCACTCTCCTGCAGCAAGGCCCTGGCCCTGCACAAACAAGCTTTTGCTGCTGCGCTTTGGCCTTTTGCTGCAGCAGCAGCTGCAGTGCTAGCAGCAGCAGCAGCAGCAGCAGCAGCAGCAGCAGCGGTGGCAGCAGCAGCGGCGGCAGTGGGAACCACAGAAACGGCAGCAGCAGCAGTCGAAACAGCAGCAGCAGCTGCTGCTGCAGCAACAGCGGCAGCAGCAGCTGCTGCTGCTCAAACGACAACCGCAGCAGCAGCCAGAGCAGCAGCAGCAGCTGCTGCTGCTGCTCAAACGACAACCGCAGCAGCAGCCAAAGCAGCAGCAGCAGCAGCAGAAATAGAACCAGAAGCGGCAGCATTAGCAGCAGCAGCAGCAGCAGAAACAGCAGCAGCACCAACAGACACCAAACCAGCAGCAGCAGCAAGAGCACCAGCAGCCACAGAAGCAGCAACAGCAGCAGCAGCAGCAACAGCAGCAGCAGCAGCAGCAGCAGCAGCACCATTCTATGAAGATGGAGTCCTCTTCAGAAGAAAACTCTTCTGCTGGCAGCAGCAAATTGGGATTGCATGCAGAGAGGAAGGTAAGGGGGTCAGCAACAAAGTAAAGAATCTCTGCAGCAGCAAATAGAAAAGAAATAAATAAATAATTAAATTAAATTAAATTAAATTAAATTAAATTAAATTAATTAATTATTTATTTATTTTAATTAATTTATTATTACTTTTAAAGCAACAAACGCAAGTTTTGGAAGTTAACGCAGAGACCCAGTCGCAGGGGTCGTTTGGAACTCCACACGAGCCCTAAACCCTAAACCCTAAACCCTAAACCCTAAACCCCAAACCCTAAACCCTAGACTCTAAACCCTAAACCCTAAGGCGCCACCTAAAGACAGCTTCCTTCTTCAGCTCTTCTCAGCTCCACTGGATCATTCCCACCTACACCCCAGCCCTAAACCCTAAACCCTAAACCCTAAACCCTAAACCCTAAACCCTAAACCCTAGACTCTAAACCGATTTGGGATTCCGCGGTGGGTTTCTGTCGAAGGAAGAAGTCGAGAAGCGTCGAGGTGACCTAGTAAGGGTGGATGTGGGGTCGGGATAACCCTAAACCCTAAACGCTAAACCCTAAACCCTAAACCCTAAACCCTAAACCCTAGACTCTAAACCCTAAACCCTAAGGCGCCACCCAAAGACAGCTTCCT